AAACTAACATATCCACTACTACTAACATAACCCAACTCCCATAAAACCACCTCCAATAATTGAAAATGATACATGATAATGATACCCATAAAATGATGCATAATAATGATTGATAGCAATTATAATAAAGTACAAGATAACCAATAAGCCATCATAACTAATATGCAAAATGATAATGCATTACTACTCTCAAAGTCAATAAACAAAAACAATAACAACATAATGATCATAATAATTAAAAAAAACCCGGTCATCACTCACCACCCATCCCGTACAATACCAAGAATAAATAATACACACCCACCAAACAATCCCACATCCCAATAACACCAATAATAATAATAATAATAATAATAATTCAATACAAATCTAAAATCAATAATTAATAAATCAATAATAATAATAATAATCATATAAAAATACATAAATACATTGAAATAATAAATAATGATAAAATAATACGATAATAACATGGTCTCAAATATTGCTTTTGGCCCCTCCTCGGTCCCGGCCCTCACGTTCTCTGAATACCACATACTCACCGAACCATTATTTCTATCTCATTATAACCTATATTCTGTTTTGACGCAAGATTACTGTTAAGATAATCTCTTGCCTTGCGACTGAGCCTTGAATATCAGTTCGTTTTGGTTACTAAATGGCCACCCCGCCCCAATAATCCATGACCTCGACCACATACACAATCCAAATAACGCCGGACACACCACATCACAACATGCACATAACGCCGACACACACACACGGACACACACACACTGACCTTCGAAGAACCACAACAGTTACTCACAAAAAAAACGCCACAATTCCCAGCCCCCCCCTTCCCCCCCCACCCCCTGCCTCGACCCCACCCCCTTACCCCACTCCCGCCCGTCCCCCCCCTACCCCCCCTCCCTCTCCCTCCACGGCGTCTCCACCCCCCCATCCACCACCCCCCTGGCCGACGTGACCCCCCCCCACCCTCTTCACTCCCCACCCCACTCCCCAACACCCCCACCACACGCACCCCACATTTCCCCCAGCCCCGCCCGCCCTCCGCCATCCCCCGCCACACCCCCGCCCCCCCCCACCCCCCCCCCACCCGGCCGACCCCCGCGCCCCCGTACCTCCCCCTCCCGACATACCCCCCCCCGCCACCGTACCCCCACCCGTCGCCCCCCACCTACCTCCCCCCCCCCCTCATACCCCCTCCCCCACTCCCTCCCCCCCCCCCCCACCCCTCCCTCACCCCACATCCCCGCCCCCCCCCCCGCCCCCCTCCCGACCCCACCCCCCTGCCCACCCCCACACCCCCCCCCACCCCCCCCCCCCCCCTCCGTCTCTCCCCCTACCACCTCTCTGCCCCACCCACCCCGCGCTCCACCCTAGCCCCGCGCCGGCCCATCGCGTCTACACCCACCGCCACCCCGTCCCCCCTTCCATGTCCTCAGCCATTCTCTACTCCCACCCCACCCCCCCCACCCCCGCGCACCACGTGCGGCCCGCCCCCAACACAAAAACCACCAACACACCCCAAAACACACCCCCCAAAAAAAAAACAACCCGCACACACCCCCAAAAAAACCCCCCCACCCCCCCCCCCCCCCCCCCCGCCCCCCCCGCCCGCCCCCCCCCCCCCCCCTCCACCATCCCCCCCCCCCCCCCCCCCCCCCCCCCCCCCCCCCCGCCCCCCCCCCGACCCCCCCCCCCCCCCCCCCCCCCCCCCCCCCCCCCCCCCCCCACGCCCCCCCCCCCCCCCCACCCCCCCACCCCCCCCCCTCCCCCCACCCCCGCCCCCCCCCCCGCCCCCCCCCCCCGCCAGACCCGCCACCCCCCCCCAGCCACACCCCCCCCCCCAAACCCCCCCCCCCAACACAACCCCCCAACCCCCCCCCCCCCCCCCCACCCCCCCGCCCCCCCAAACAAACCCCCCCCACCACCCCCCCCCCCTCCCCCCCAAAACCCCACCCCCAAAACCCCCCCAACACCCCCCAACCCCAACACACAAACCACCGCCCAAAGCATGGCACGTCAGAAAAAAACACGCATAGGGTGGGGATAGAATAGAGAAGAATGATAGAAAAAATGATAATGAAGGAGGATGAGAAATAGACAATATTAGCCTTTTAAATCACATGAGTGTGTGAGATTATGATGAAGAAAGACGAGAGAGAAGAGATACGTGGAAAGTATGGAGAAGAATGAGTGGTCTCTAAGCACTCACCAGAAGAAACACTCATTATATACACTCACCCAAAGAAACACATATGTACGCACACACATATACACTCATACAGACATTAATAAGGAATGCTTAAATTTGCCAACGAGTATCTAGGCAGGTGCATAGTTACACACAGTTTTATATTGCAATCACATGTCAATATGCACTCACCACAGAACACATCATATCAATAAATACCACCACTCACACTCAACCTCATACACGTGCATTTACATTAACCTCAATGTTTTTCAAATATTCATTGTGATAAAAAGATCTGTAGTTGTTATCATTATTATTGTTATTATTATTATCATTATTATTATTTATCATGATAATAGAATGAGGATATTATCATCAAGAAGATGTAATCTTCTTATTATCATTATTGTTATTATATTATTATTATTATTATTATTATTATTATTATATTATCATTATTATTATTATTATTATTATATTATTATTATTATTATTATTATTATTATTATTATTATTATTATTATTATTATTATTATTATTATTATTATTATTATTATTATTATTCATTATCATTATTTATTATTATTATTAATATCATTGTTATTATTCATTTATCTTTATTGTTATTATTATTATCCTTTTATTATAATCATTAACATTATTATTACCCTTCTCATTAATATTCTTATTATCATTGCTATTATAATAATATAATAATAATCAATATATAATAATAATAATAATTATAATATAATAATAATAATAATAATTATTATTATTATTATTATTATTATTATTATTATCATTATCATTTTTATCATTATTATTACTATTGTAGTTGCTGCTGTTGTTACTGTTATTGTTACTATCATCATTATCTTTATAATTATCATTATCATTGTAATAATAATAATAATAATAATAATAGTAATAATAATAATGATAGTAATAACAATAATAATGATAATGATAATAATAATAATAATGATAATGATAATTATTATTACTATAATTATTTTAGTTGTCGTCATTTCTGATATTATTATTATTATTATTAATGTTTTTTTTATTTCTGTTATTAGTAGAATTAATATCGTCATTTTGATCATTATTCTTAATATCATTATTATTATGATCCTTATCAATATCATTATTATTGTTACTAACATTCTATTACTATCATTATTATAATTATTATCGTTATCATTATCATTATTATCATTTCATCATTATCATTATCATTATTATCATTATTATTATAATTGTCATTACCAATATTGTTATTACTATCATTATAATTATCATTAAAATCATTACTATTATCTTCATCATCATTATTATCATTATCATTATCATTATTATCATTATTATTATTATTATCATTATTATTATTATAATTGTCAATATCATTTCTTTTATGATGATTACTATTATCTGCATATCATCATTATCATTAGAATTTCATTATCATTATATCTAATTTTATTGTATCTATTATTATCATTAGTATCATTATCTTCATTATTATACTTATTAGTATCATTATTATTAATATCATTATTATCACTATCATTATCTATTTATCATTATTATCATTACTGTTAATATTGTTGCTGTTACCATAATTATTTTTGGTTCATTTATCATTATCATTATCAATCATCCTTTTCATTACTATTATCCTCCTTTTTATTAGACCTCGATTCCTTCTCCCTTATTCCGAGACGCGACGGGACTCGGGCTACACACAGGGGTAAGTGGGATTTGGCACGAGCCTTCAAGCGAAATCGTCCCTTACGGCGAGTGTCCACAGAGCCGTGATTCCCCTGCGCTTGGGTACGGGACGCCGCGATATCTATGAGCACTGCATCGCCCAGATTATTATTAGCTTTATTATATATCATATAATTAATATCAATATTATTAATGTAATTATTATTATCATTACTATTACCATTATTATCATTATTATTATCACTATCTTTATTATCACTATTTTTATTATCATTATTATTGTTATTATTATCTTTTTTATTATCATCACCATCATTATTATCATTATAATATAATTATTATTATTATCATTTTATCATTGTTACTACCATTATTATCATTATTATTATTATTATTATTATTATCATTTTTATCATCATTGTTACTACCATTATTATTATTATTATTATTATTATTATTATTATTATTATTATTATTATTATTATTATTATTATTATTATTATTATTATTATTATTATTATTATCATTATTATTACTACTGCTACTGTTGTTGTTGTTATTATTATCACTACTGTCGTTGTTATTACCCTTATTATTATCAATATTATTACTATCATTATTGATAATAATAATAACGATAATTAATATCATTATTAACATTATTATTATTACCATTACTATTATCATTATTATCATTATTATTATCATTATTATTATTATCACTATTATTGTTATTATTATCTTTCTTCTTATTATCACCATTATAATTATTATCATTATCATTGTTATTATTATCATTATTATTATTATTATTATCATTGTTATTATCATTATTATTATTATTTAGCTCATTATTATTACTGCTACTACTGTTGTTGTTGTTATTATTATTATCATTACTAATTTTATTATTACTATTATCACTATTGTTGTTGTTATTACCATTATTATTATTATTATTATTATTATTGTTGTTGTTGTTGTTGTTGTTGTTGTTATCATCATTATTATTATCATTATTATTGCTATTACCATTATCATTATTATCATTATCATTATTATTTTCATTATTATTGTAATTACCATTATCATTATTATTATCATTATTATTATTATCATCATTATCATTATTGTCGTTGTTGCTGTTGTTATTGTTATTATCATCACTGTCGTTATCATTATCTTTATTATCATTATTATCATTGTTTTTATTGTCGTCGTTGTTGATGATATTATTATTGATTTATTATTCATGTTATTATCATAATTGATATCACCATCTTTATTACTACTGTTATTTTTATTATCATGATCCTTATCATTATCATTGGTATTGTTACTTTCGCTTTATTACTATTATTATTGTCATTATTACTGTTGTCATTATCATTATTATCATTTCATCATCATCATTATTATCATTATTATGATTGCCATTATCATTATTGTTATTACTATCATTATTATAATTATCATGATAATCATTACTATTATCATCATCTTTGTTATCATCATTATCACTATCATTACCACTGTCATTATTATTTCTTTTATGATTATTACTGTTATCCGTATATTCTCATTGCACTTCCTCGGCCGCGGGAGACGTTCGGGAAACTTTGCGAGGTTCGGCTTGCGAGGGAGAACTTCCTTTCTTTCTTTCCTTTCTTTCTTTCTTTTCTTTTTCTTTCGTTCTTTCTTTCTTTCTTTCGTTTCATTTCTTTCTTTCTTTCTTTCTTCTTTTTTCTTTCTTTCTTTCTTTCTTACTTTCGTTTCTTTCTTTCCTTCCTTTCTTTTTTACGTTTCTTTCTTTCTTTCTTTAATTACGTTCTTTCTTTCTTTCTTTTCTTTCGTTTCTTTCTTTCTTTCTTTCCTTTCTTTAATTACGTTTCTTTCTTTCTTTCTTCCCTTTCTTTAATTACGTTTCTTTCTTTCCTTTCTTTAATCGTGCTTCTCTTTGCGGCAGAAGTTCGTCTCTCTTGATATGTCAATTAGATGAGGACGGCCTTTCATTTTCCATTTCATTTCTTCATATATGTTTAATGTTTCCATAGATAAAAGTGCCTACTGTTGCAATGATAATCATTATATGCATAAGAATGATGATAACAATTAGAATAATGATAACTATGGTAATTCCAATGATGCTAACAATACTTATAGTTCTACAATTAAAGATAATATGATAAAACAATAATGATAATGATAATAATGATAATGATAATTAATAGTAATAACAGTAATAATATTAATTGTTACGATTATGATAACAATAATGATGATAAAAATAACAATGATAATAATAACCTTCCTCTTCGGATAGTCTTGTAATTAATGTCTCAGATGCCATGCAACACACTCACTCACTCAACATACATACACACACACACACGAAAACATGCATACATACACACGGACACATACATATGTAAGAACACACACATCCACGACGAGGACAATTAGCAGTTTAAAAGGCCAATTCGCCTTTATTGCAATATGTATATAAGTGCAGGATGTAAAATAGGATAAATGCTATGTAAGAAAAAAAGGCAGCAGAAAAACAACAATAGTGATAATAGAATTAACAATAACGATCATAATAACAATATAAATGATAATCATAATCATAAAAATTTCCTTAGGAGGATTCGAACCGGCGATCACATATTCGAATTGGGCGCCTTAACCCAATCAGCCACGGTGGCGAAAGCGCCCTTGTTAATCATAGTGATAATGATGATGGCAGTGACAATAGTAATGATAAAGATGATAATGACATCGTTGAGGATAATACTATTATTAACTTTATTACTAACATTATTATGATAATTATCATTATTATTATTTCTATAATCAGGATCCATATAATTTGTATTATCATCATTATCAATATTTAATGATCATTATCATCATTAATACTATCATTATCATTATTAACTATCATTGTTATCACTATGTGTTGTTTTTGTTAATTTGTTGTTATATTAATCATATTTGTTACTATCATTTTCATGACTGCAATACTAAGAATATTCTCTGTTGTTATTATTCTTAATATTGTTTTCCGTAGATATAATATCTAATTCATTCATTTCTTTCAACGGGAGAATATTTCTATTGGCATCGGGTGTCCCTTTCCCTCTTGATTGAGCCGTATCGCAGGAAACTGAGAGGTATGTCAGTCCTCACTGGTGGATTCCTGGTTAGTCTATTAATTCTATTATTTGTTAACAAAATTAAACAATATAAAGATTAATTGCTATTCAATTATGTTGATACAAACAGTAAGCAGTAAATAAAAAATGTATGTAAGAAAATGATGATAAGATAATATAAAAACAAAATACATACGGCATCATTATCATCCATGCTACAATACAGAACAATAACAAAGCAATCACATTCACATCATCATCATTATTATTAAATTATTAATTAGTATTATATATATACTATATTATTATTATTATTATTGAATTATTATAATTGATTATTTAATTAAATTTATTATTATTATTACATCACTATCATGTATTGATTGTCATTATTATTATTATTATTTC